ATCAGTGGGGACACTCCCTGCCTTCCTCCTGAGCCCTGGAACCTTTGAGGTTAAGGATGTTCTGGCAATGGCTGTCATTTTTGTATCTGGTCCATTCATAAATGAATAAGATAATCCCTGACTGCATGAACAATTAGTACAACTAGTATTCTGTAGGCGGCATTTGTTATTCTTTTTGGCTGACAGCATCCAGATCCCTTGATACTTCCTCACTGATGAATCTTGGTGCAAGGCCCAGCCCACCAACTGATGCTACAAGGGCCTTTCTCCCCAAGTCTTTCTTGCAAACCAGAGCATGGCAGTGACCTCTGAGAGCTTCCAGCATCCAAAGACTGGAGGGTTGGTGGAGCATTTAGCACACTGGGAGCCCACTGGGTCTCAAGAGAACTGTTGTCACCAAATGAGCTTTTAGTTGGAATTTTGGACATTGTTCCCACTGGGTGATCTCCAACTCAGATCTCTAGTCCCCCAGCAATCCTGTAAACTATACAATACATGTTAATAAATTCCTCTTCTTAAATCAGCCAGCTTTGATTTCTGTGGCTTAGCACTAAGAACCTTGACTGATAGAGCCTCCCACCAGCATTCCCCCATAACTGATGATTACAGATACTTATCGTTTTCATTGGTAGCATAAAAGGATATTTCGTGTAAAAAGAGCAACCTCATATACCACTTAAAATTCAAACTGTCTTGGTAAATCCCATTATGGGTGTAGCTTCAGTTCCTCCAAAGCATTTAAGTGGTAGGTTATCTATTAAACAACATACTTTACAGGGTAAATAGAATTAAGTCTTTAAATACATGCCTGGAGGTGGAGTGCCTGATAAGCTGCTTATATCTGGGGGCCTTTTTGCCTGTTTTATAAAGAAGAAAGTAAGGTGTCAAATCTTTATCCTGGTAATTGGAAAATGCCTCCCCTGTTCCCCAGCTTTCTCTTTTTCCTCCTTTTACACTAGTGTAGGAAGTTGTGGCTTTGGTCAAGGGAATCAGTTGAAATGGAAATATTATTGGAATGTGTGAATGCTATTATGGAGCTAGTACATGGTACCAGTATGTACAGACCTCCAAAGAAGCCTTGATTATGTGATAAATATACTTATGTTATCAGTTATTTATTTATTTATTTATTTTTGAGACACAGTTTCACTTTGTTGCCCTGCCTAGAGTGCCGTGGCATCAGCCTAGCTCACAGCAACCTCAAACTCCTGGGCTCAAGCGATCCTCCTGCCTCAGCCTCCCGAGTAGCTGGGACTACAGGCATGCACCACCATGCCCAGCTAATTTTTTCTATATATATTTAGTTGGCCAATTATTTTTTTCTATTTTTAGTAGAGACGGGGTCTGGTTTTGAACTCCTGACCTTGAGCGATCCACCCATCTTGGCCTCCCAGAGTGCTAGGATTACAGGCCACCCCGCCTAGCCCTATGTTATCAGTTATTATTAATTATACTTCTGCTAATGAAAATTTATCAGCAACATTATCACAATAAAAATGTAAAATAAATGTAAGGATTTTCATAGAGCTTTATGGTTTACAATATGATTTCAGGTACTTTTATCTCAACTGATCTCCTTGCTCAGAGGAGTTACTGATTTTGCTCAGAGGAGTTAAGTGACTTGCCTGAGGCCAAACAGCTTGACCCTAGACCTAACTCCCTTGCTATTTCCATCATATAATATAAATATCATTAACTAAAATGATAATAATACTATGGAATTGCATTAAAGTAAATAGAAAACAAAAACTCTAAATTCAGAACAACTACATGATCTAGTTTTAGCCAAGCAGAATGATATAAATTTAGTTTTATTAATCCTTAATTAAAACACAAAACACCAGGTATGGTGGCTCGTGCCTATAACCTAGCACTTTGGGAGGCTGAGGTGGGAGGATCACTTGAGCCCAGGAGTTTGAGGTTGCAGTTAGCTATGATGATGCCACTCTACTGTAGCCCAGGCAACAGAGTAAGACCCTGTCTCAAAAAAAAGAGAGAGAGATTTTGAAGTCCTAACTTTCGGTATCTCAGAATGGGACTTTATTTGGAAATAGGGTGCCTGAAAATGTAATTAGTTAAGATGAAGAATACTGGGGGTGGGGTGGTGGTGGCCTCTAATCCAGTATGACTGGTGTCTTTATAAGAAGGTGACCAAGAAGACACAGGGAGAAAGCCATGTGTAGATGGAGGATTGGAGAGATGCATCTACAAGCCAAGGAATGTCAACAATTGTCAGCAAACCACCAGAAGCTAGAGGAGGCAAGGAAGGATTCTTCTGCAGGCTTTAGCCAGAGCATGGTCCTGCTGATACCATGATTTCAGACTTCTAGCCTGCAGATCTGTGAGATAACGAATTTCTGGTTTTTTATGCCACTCAGTTTGTGGTGTTTTGTTATGGCAGTCCCAGGAAACCAACACACTGGCCTTGTCTTTGAACTCTTGCAAATAATGGGGGAAGGGGCAATAGGGAGTCACCTGAACATCATGACTTAAAGGATTTCAATGACTTTCCAGTTTATTTTCTGATAAGTGAAAATATTTTTAAGAACATGCCTAGTGAGCACAGGAATGCTAAGAAAGCAAACAGTAAAGGCCACACACAAAACAACAGGCAATTGAAATTTTAATACAACTAGGTATTGACATAAAAATTTTTAAAAATCAGTGTGACAGCATTGGTTTTCATAGATTAACATTTACAATTGTAGGAAAATAAAGTTTTATAAAGTTCCCTTAATACTTCAGTTCGATATTAATCTAACTCTTTATAGTCTACCAAAATGGTAATATTTTACTTTTTTTTTTTTTAAAGCATTGGTGCTCTTCTTAAATGAAATGTTAACATGTGGCCCAGTATATACAACAGAAAGTGAAGTTGTCCCCGTTGAGGGAGGCTCCCATAAAGGGCCTCACACTTCTGTAGATGTTAGCTCTTCAGACACAGTGCAGCCCTAAGCACAGTTTGAGAACCATGGAATTAAAATATTAACAATACACACTTGGCTGGGCGTGGTAGTTCCCGCCTGTAATCCTAGCACTCTGGGAGGCCGAGGCGGGAGGATCACTTGAGGTCAGGAGTTCGAGACCAGCCTGAGCAAGAGCGAAACCCCCATCTCTACTAAAAATGGAAAGAGATTATCTGGACAACTAAAAAAATATATATATATAGAGAGAGAGAGATAGAAAAAATTAGCTGGGCATGGTGGCACATGCCTGTAGTCCCAGCTACTTGGGAGGCTGAGGCAGGAGGATTGTTTAAGCCCAGGAGTTTGAGGTTGCTGTGAGCTAGGCTGATGCCACGGCACTCTAGCCAGGGCAACAAAGCGAAAAACAATACACACTAATAAAGGTCTCACTGACAAGGAAAATCTAGAAAGTTCATTCAGTGACCAACACCTTCTAAGCTTCAGCTTTTCTATATTGCTTTTCTTTTTGGTTTCATTGTTTTAGAAAACTCTTCGCACATTGTTTGAATGGTGGCTATAACAGGCAGAGACTGTTATTCTACACCTGGGAAATTATCTACAAGATAGATGCTGCTGAATGAAATCCAACAGTGATGATTTTGTAGGCCGTCTATTGTTCATACTAACAAAAATAAAACACTTCTCATGAATAATGCCTTAAAACCAAGATCATTTTTGGAAAGATGGAGCATCCCAATAATTCAAAGGGAGATTCCAAAGAAATGCTACACAATGGGACCTTAGCATGGATGTCCAAAGGGGATAGAAAAGGCAACTCCATTCACACAATCCTGCCACTCAATGTATGCAGGACAGGCAGGGCTGTAGGAGATGGAGAGATGTGCACAGGGCACTGATTAAAGCTATGGAGGCTGAGTGGACCCCAGGGGGCCACAGAACCACAGGGAAGCATCTGCCTAAGGCTATGTATAGAAAGAGTTACAAATACACACAAAAAGGCATGAGACACATGGTGTTTTGGTTAACTGAGGTGGGCTTGCTTATAAAGGACCTTTCCTTGAGATTCATTCTTTGCAGTTTATTACTTTCACAAACACTTCTACAGATTTCACAAACATTAATATAGTTTGTATGATATGCCAGGCTCTGTTCTAGGTGCTTTATAAATATTAACTCATTTAATCCTCATAATAACCCTAGGAGGTAGGTACTATTATTAGCCCCATTTTACAGAAGAGGAAACAGGCACAGAGGGATTAAGCCACTTGCCCATGATCACAAATCTTGAAAATGTTGATCCGTGCTTTGAACCCCCTTTTAGGGAAGAAGTGACACCTTTGAAAGGTGTCACCCATTTTCCCTTAGGAAGAATCCTTTAAGAATCACTTAGGAATTTCTCTTAGGAAGAGAAATTTGTCCTGGAAAAATCTAGGAACCTGCCTGAGTAAAAAAGGAAAAAGCAATGGATGTGGTGGCTTACACCTGTAATCCTAGCACTTTGGGAGGCTGAGGTGGAAGGATTGCTTGAGGAGTTTGAGACCAGCCTTAGCAAGAGTGAGACCTTGTATCTACAAAAAATAGAAAAATTAGCAAGGCACGGTGGTACACTCCTATAGTCCCAGCTATTTGGGAGGCTGAGGCAGGAGGATTGCTTGAGCCCAGGAGTTGTTGGTTGCAGTGAGCTATGATGATGCCACTGCACCACATTCTAGCCAGGGCCACAGAACAAGACTCTGTCTCCAAAAAAAAAAGGAAAAAGCAGCACCAGAATTGATAGCCTACTTCTTCATCACACTATAAGAAGATGATCTCTAAAATGAAAACACATTTTAATGAGATAGACAAATATGAAATTGTATACAAACAAATAGAGGATTTCTTCCATTCTTGGTAAATCTGAATTTGTTTGAAATGTTTGAGTAAAATCATACTTTCTCTTTTCTTTTCTGAAAAAGCACTGAGCTAAGGAAAAAAATTATATTTTTTAACATTGCATACTGGTTAGTCCAACTAGACACTAAATCAGGAAGCACTTGCTTCTCTACCACAGATACTAGCATAAAAAAAGGCAGTAAATAAATAGTCTATTTGTGATAAAAAATGGTTTCAAATAGGTTTAAGAATAACCTTGTAAATCCCAATTCATTACTTTATCATATTCTTGAATTCTTTGCTTTATATGAGAAAGTTTATTCTTGAGATAATCACAGCGTTCTTTTTTTTCCAGAAATGTAGGATCCTATAAAAGAAATATAAGTATTATTTCACTTCTGGCTTTTGCAGTGAAGAATATAGAAACATACATTATTACTCAGAAAATGACCACACACAACAGAGTTATCTACAGATTTCAAAATCTGCCTAATCAGAATAACAGTTAAGATCCTTACATTTGTTTTTTTTTTTTTTTGAGACAAAGTCTCACTTTGTTGTCCAGGCTAGAGTGAGTGCCGTGGCGTCAGCCTAGCTCACAGCAACCTCAAACTCCTGGGCTCGAGTGATCCTTCTGCCTCAGCCTCCCGAGTAGCTGGGACTACAGGCATGTGCCACCATGCCCGGCTAATTTTTTATATATATATCAGTTGGCCAATTAATTTCTTCCTATTTATAGTAGAGACGGGGTCTCGCTCTTGCTCAGGCTGGTTTTGAACTCCTGACCTTGAGCAATCCGCCCGCCTCGGCCTCCCAAGAGCTAGGATTACAGGCGTGAGCCACAGCGCCCGGCCTACATTTGTTTTTAATGGACTTAATTTTTCAGAGCAGTTTTAGGTTCACAGCAAAATCAAGTGAGAAGTACAAAGAGCTGAGGAACCTTTAACTTTAATATCCGAAATACATAAAAAAGTAATAACAGCCAGGCTTGGTGGCTTGCACCTGTAATCCTAGCACTTTGGAAGGCAGAGGTGGGAGGATCACTTGAGGCCAGGAGTTTGAGGCCAGCCTGGATAATACAGCAAGACGCCATCTCTACAAAAAATTTAAAAATAATTAGCCAGGTATGGTGGCGTGCACCTGTAGTCCCAGTTACTTGGGAGATTGAGCCAGGAGGATCGGTTGAGCCCAGGAATTAGAAGTTATAGTGAGCTATGATTGTACCACTGCACCCTAGCCTGGGTAACAGAGTGAGACTCTACCTCTAAAAAAAAAAAAAGAATAAAGAAAAAGAAAGAAAAGAATAGAGAAAAAAGAAAGAGAAAGAAGAAAAAGAAAGAAAAGAATAAAGAAAAAAGAAAAAGTAAATAATAAGTATAGAAAAGATTAATAAAAAGTCTCTCTAGCCTTTAATGATTTTTTTTTTTTTTTAGAGATGGGGTCTCACTATATCGCTCCTCTTGTCTCAGTCTCCCAAGTAGCTTGGAATACAGAGGTGCACTGCCATGCCTGGCTTTATTTTGAGATTAAGAATGAAGTTAGAAAGATGTAAAAGAGATTAAGAATGAAGTTAGAAAGATGTAAAACTGATCTTTTCCAGATCAATGCTCATTTCCCTAGGTTATTAAATATGGACATAGCAGAGTGTTTTAGGACAGAGATGACAAGAAATGGCATCAGAAGTCACTCATTTTCCCTTAAAAGTAGCATCTTATGAAATAAAAAAATCCAAAAAACAAAAAACTTTACCTAAGAGAATCAAAAGTCTGTCAATTATCATGCATACACCTGGATAAGACTATACTTCGAAAAAGAAAATTGTTTTACTCACATTCTTTTTTTTCTTAAACTGTTCATGGATTCTTGAAATTCTCTCATGTTCCTAAAAATAATATATTGTATACTTGAGTTAAAACACTTGCATTTACTCAAACCATCTCTCAAAGACAGGGAATTAAGATGAAAACAATTTTTATCTAAGATAATAATATTCACACACAAAAATTCAATTCACTAGACAAATATTCGAGGACTTACTATCTGGTAGGCACTGGGACCTAGGGGTGAACAAGAGAGAAAGGTCCCACCTGTAAAAAATCAGACCCAAGTCCCAGTGTCATGGCCTGCCAGTTGTGTGACCCTGAGAAAGCTATTTATCCTCCCTAAGGCTGTTTTCTTATTGGTAAAACAAATAACCATAACAACCTTAAAGGGTTGCTCTTTTTGGTAAAATGGAAGTAATAACCATTATCATCTCAAAGCGTTGTGAAAAGTTTCCCTTATTTAAAATGATCTTATAAAGTGTTTGGCACATTATAACCACAACATTAGCTATCATTATTATTATTTTCATCCCCTTTGGAAAGTTCTTTTTCAAGTTATTAGGTGTTGGGATTAAGCAGTTGAAACTATTTAACTTTTGAAAACAGCTAATATAAGGTTCCTTCTGGGCCGGGTGTGGTGGCTCATACCTATAATCCTAGCTCTCTGGGAGGCTGAGGTGGGCAGATTGCTCAAGGTCAGGAGTTAGAAACCAGCCTGAGCAAGAGCAAGACCCTGTCTCTACTATAAATAGAAAGAAATTAATTGGCCAACCAAAAATATATAGAAAAAATTAGCCAGGCATGGTGGGGTATGCCTATAGTCCCAGCTACTCGGGAGGCTGAGGCAGAAGGATTGCTTGAGCCCAGGAGTTTGAGGTTGCTGTGAGCTAGGCTGA